ATGACAAGTGATGTGCACACAAGCCGTTGCAAATGTTTGAGGTATTTGTGACCATGCAATTAGGTTTGTATGTACAAATGTACATACATACGTCTGTATCCGAAGTCAAAGTAAATTTGGGTTGTCAAAAATCTATTCTAAGCTTTTAGGTCAATAGCTTTGGAGGGTGGCAGAGTGAATAGGAAGTGATTTCCAGGAAGTGGAATAATAGACAAAAGCAAGGATATATATAAGCAGTACATGTGTAGGGGTTTAAATCAAACCGAGTTACGCATACATTCAAAGTTACCTTGCATATTCCCAAACATAAGCAGATACCTATGCATGCGTCCACAAATCGAAACTGGAAAAGCAAGGTAACCGAGCGTAGGGATTTTTGGCAACTATTGGAGTGTGTGTGATACTAATTTTAGTTTAATTTTAATTGTGTCTTATGCAATTATAAACCAAATATTTGCTTGTATAACTTTTGCAAAGACATTGATTTTATGACCAAATTTACTATAAGATTGAGAAATGCTTTCAGCTTTTTGCGTACAAAATTTGACAGACATTGAATGACGTTAACTACAAGCGTCTGCATGTCCTTTTTGTTTTAAGTGACGAAAAATATATTTTGTAATGATATTAACGCAAAACGAGAGAAAATAATTGCACTTACAAAATCTGATTTTTTTTTCTTGTCTGAAAACTTTAGCCTAAACGCTTAGCTCTCGCTTTCGAACTTACTATATGAATGTCAAATACCATCCGCTATGCTCATGCGAAATTTCATACAAATCGGAGGATTTTTTAACTAGCTTACTGAATGTCCTTTTTCGACAATGTGAAAAAAAGTTAAATTTTTAGTTTATCAATTTATCAAGACACGCACCACAAATTGAAGCAGAAGCTCGGCCAACACTTAGCGAAAGTGTAAGCGCAAAAATATTATTATTATATCGATTTTGTATGTTTAAGGGTCGCAAAAAGCATTAAAAAATGGCTTCCCATCAAAACACTCATATCGACCCCAACTCTATGCTTTAGCTATGCCATTAATTTGCGAAAACCACAATTTCTATCGCACTTCACAAATCACATTAATGGATTGTGAACAGCACCTGCTGATAAGCAGTCGAAACTCCAGCTGCCAATTACATATACATACACTCGCCTTATACGCTTGTCCATATGGTATTTTTGTTTTATATGTATGCATGTATGTACGGATTTGTTTACATGTTCCTCACTAAAATCCATTTACTGCCAACGTCGTAGTTCCAACGGCTTCATTCACCAACGAGGTGACTTGCAAAAATTTTTTTTTCATTTGTTTTCTACGCCAAATAACAATCGCCCATGCTGTGATTCACTTTGTTCCTTTGTATGGAAGGAAACAAAGCATACAAAAGCAACACTAAGAAGCAGCAAAGGCAGGGTAAATCAACAGTAAGCTGTTGACCAGGATAGCGCATAGCTTTATTATATTTACTTTATTTATTTATTATATTACAAAAAGAGTTTTTTTTTGTTTGCTCGTTGTTTTTTATTGTATACCTTTGCCCAGACGCAAACATTTTTTTGTGCCCTTGTGCTGATTTAAGTGCGAACATTCATTAATATTATTAGCGTAAAAAAGAGAAAATATCGACAACTTAAAGCAATAAGCATTGTAATGGCATATTGTTGTTACTTTTTCATTTTGACTTAAGCACAAAAAAGGATATACATAGGCATAGCATAATTTGGGTGTAAGTGATTTTTTTGAAATTCAATACAAGGTTAGTGCATTAGTAGTTGTGTTCAATGACAGAAAGGAGTGGGTAAGCTACAAGCGTTTAGGAATAATTACTTCCTTTCTTCAAGAAATCATATATAACACCCAAAAAAGGATATACGTGTGGCTCTGTATTGAAGCTAGCGATTGTTATAAAATTTGCTGAGGAGCTAGCCCATAGAAAACTACGTAAATTTATCCAAAGCTTCGCTTTACAGCATGGACTCTGTACGGAAAAAAATTTGTTTTCTTACTAAAACATGTTCTAACCACTAACAACTTATTGTATTGCAATTATGCAACAATTGATAAATTACCAACAAAAAGGATATACGTGTAGCTTTGTTTTTAAACAAACGATTCTATTGAAATTTATTGAGAAGCTAGTGCATGGACAACTACGTTCATTTACCAAAGCTCAGTTCAATAGTATTGACTGTGCAAAAGTTAGGAGACTTATCGTAAGATCCTGTTTTAGCGCATTAAGCTCATTTTCGCACAAATAAAAAAATGTAAAATCATGCTAAGCGAGTGCTTTAATTTTCTTAAACCGCGTTCAATAACAAAGTTGCAGCTAAAAAGTTGTTAACTCTGAACTATTATAACAAATATGAGTAAATATAAGCAGTAAAACTTAGGCTTTAGAGGTTTAGAGGTTTGATTATTAGATACTTTCTTTGTTTATATAACTAGAAAAAAAGGACATTCGTTTGCACTGGTTTGCGATTCTTGCTTAGTTAGCTGCGTTGAATTGCTAAAACAGAGCTTAAAAGCTTTTATTATTTAGTATTTACGGCATACGCAAAATGATATTCAGCGCGAAATTTGAATTGGTGCACATATGTAGAAAAACTTTAGATTGTTTGTTTTTGTAATAAAAAAGGACACTCAGCTGGACTTGTTTAGAAGCAAGTGGCTCATTTGAGATTTAAGACACGTTTAGTTCTTTATCAACTGCATTCGAATACCAAAGTAGAACTTAGAATATGTTGCCGCTCAAAAGTTATGGCACTTTATATGAGCACATGCATATGTGCATACATACATAAAATTATAAAAATTAGTCAAACAAAAAAATTTTTTTAAATGCTAAATTTTAACAAAAAACCTTTCGGAAAAAGGACATTTGTAAAATGGTCCCACCCCTTTAGCCACGTTAATTTACCGAAATTAATTTATAACGCTCAATACAAACAAACAAAAAATCCAAAAAGAGGACGTTTGCGTAGTGCACTTAAAATTCAATGATGTTTGATTTTTTTTTTTCAAATCGCTCCGACAACTTTGTACATGTAGAAAAATTTTGTTAAATATGTCTGATTTAATTTTCTTCATATTTTGTAAAATGTTTCCACTCGTGTAGCGACGTTCGTTTACCAAATCTTCGCTCTAACGCTAAATTTTAACCAAAAAAGGACACTCATGTAGTGCATTTAAAAGTCAACGGATGTTCTTCAAATTTTGTAATAGATATCTACTATTGTTCCTACGTTCATTTACCAAAGTACAATGCAAAAGCTGCAGCCCAGCAAAACTTCGAATTCCTCAAAATTTCAAAACTACAACGCGCATTATCCATAGAAAGCAGTTGCCACCCTCAATGTCTCAATTTAATTGAAATGTCAAATATGTATTTGGCAGCTAAACTAAACACCAGCAGGATACGTGCACATCCGCCCACGTACGCCCACACATATACACACATCTGCATTTCGAATGAAATATCAACAATCAAATGCAACGGAAAAACAGGCGAGAAAAAAAATAATCCTTGTAGTAAAACGGATGGCGTGAATATTTCAACTTTGTTGCAAAAAAGGACAAAAAGGATTTGAAACAAAGCCATTGCTTGCTGGCTGGCCACAGCAACACTAACTATGCTGGTATGGCTTACGGTGCTGGAAATTGCTGCGACAAAAAGTTTTGCTACTCACTTTTTCGAAACAGAAATTGCAGCAATTGCACTTTTCGGAAGGAAGTGGGCGTGACAATGGTGGAAAAAGCCAAAGAGAAAAGAAATTGAGAATAAAGAAAAATAATGAATGGAAAATTCTCAAGTCGAATTAGTGCAGCGCGCATGAGTGGAAGAAATCACTTCGCATTGGGGGAAGAAGCAGAGCGAATGCATAGCAGCCATACAAAAATCGAAAGTCATTAATGGGCAAGTAAAATAAAAAAAAAAATAATAACAAAAAAAGCATTGGAGAAAAATAGTTAGTAGATAGAAGTGCTGTGAACAGTGGGGCAATAGCCAATCGCCAGAGTAGCTAGCTGGCGCAAATTTTTCCGACTGCAATAATTTATGATGTAACCGAACTTTTATGCTCCCACTTGAACAGACAATGGCAGCAATGGCGCGCTTGACCTACTTGCTCGTTAATGTTTAAAGACATCAACTCTTTGAAAAATTTAGTGGGAGTACATATAAGCAGCAAGAGATTATGTGCTTAAAGCTATCGACTATCAATGCAGAGAAAAAAAATCTGAAGTGCCTTGCAATATTCAACTATGTAAATAAATATGCAAGCACGCTAATGATCCCTTTTTGTCATGCAATCATCATTAAACTTGCACATAATTATGGCCACTAGCATGCCAATTATATTATACTTTATAATTGTTGGCGTTTGGGGACGAAGAACTTCTTTAGAAAAAAAGGACATTCACACAGCTTTGAAAGTACAGCTGTGTTGCAGCTGAAATTCACAGCAAACCATGTCCAAATACTGCTACGTTCGCACACGCAATCATAGTGTGATTCGAGTATGCGCTGCAGGATATTGGATGAAATTAAACTTTCCAGATATTGCACATGTACATTAACTTTAACTTGCAGTAATGCAGTAAATAATAACCTGCGAGCATCTTTTCAGGTAAAAAACAAACTTGTAAACGCGCCCAGCGCCTTTATGCTGTGTTTTAATTTATTGTAACTCGCTATACGAACGTGTGCTGCCTGTGGCTAAGCCACAAACGAGTTTCAGTCGAATCGCACGCACACAACGGTTGACGTGCAAATATCCTTTTTTTTGCGAGTGAAGCAAAACATACATAGCATAGCAGTCAATCGACTGTTATGAGATATACAGATAAATAAGCATGAAATAAGCATAGATTTAAGCTTTTGGGGCAAGTACGCAGCGCTGCTTTTACGCTTATGTGTACATATATCTTTTCGTAATTCCTTTCATTGTAAATATTAATTATGAAATATGTATGTATTAATTTTTTTGCTACTCACATAGCCAATTCATGCGCTCGGTGTACTCCACCTTGCGCTTCAGATCCTTGATGAGCGCACGAAAATCCTCATCGTTGAAATGACATTGGATGATTGTGTTATTTAGCTGCACAATGTTGTATTCATTGTTGCCATTGCTGCCCGGCCCGCTAGCGGTGTGTTGTTGCTGCTGCTGCTGTGTGGGCGAGGGCGTCAACGCCGGCGACACCACATTGCCATTACTTGACGCTTCTAGCTGGCCGCCAAGGCTGAGCTTGCGCATCGCATCACCGCCATAAAGCGCCGCTGCTGTCGCTACCGCTGCCGCAGCCGCCGGCCCGCCTTCCACATTGCTGCACGATTTGCTTAGTATGATCGTCGCGCGATTGGCAATCGAATTGGCGGCTAAGAGATGCTCGCCTGCGCCACCGCAGCTGCCGCGATGGTACGGAAATTTGCCACCAGTGCTCGACGTTAACCCCGCATAGTTGTTGTTTTTTAGCGTCACATGCAATTGATTGCTCAACAGCTGCTGCTGTAATAGCTGCTGGCTGCTGGGGTGTGTTGAGCAATCGCTGGCGCGCCGCCGCCGATCCAAGCAACCGCTCATGCTGAATGGCTGCAGAAAGGCATTGCTATAGCTGCGTTGCTGATGTGGCTGCGGCTGCGGCTTTTGTGATTGACTAGATTCCTTTGCGCCAGACGCAACTTTTGAGCTGCCCTGCTGGTTATTACTGACTGTTGCTGACGCCGTGACGCTAACTTTGCTGCCGCCATCGCCGGCGTCACTGCTATTGTAAAGATTATTGGCATTACGTAAATTTGTCTGCTGCTCTATATCGGCGGCTGTGGGCAGTAGCTGTTGTGCGACGTTGCTGTCTGTCCCCACAGCGCTGCCGCCGCTCATAATGATTAGTTGTTGTGGTGGCTGTTGCTGTTGCGTTGACTGCTGTCTGCTACTTGCGGCAATTTTGCCGTTGCCGCGCTCACTGCCCCGTCGACTGTGCTGCCGCCGCCGTATTACGGTGATGCGATGCTGCCGCTGCTCATAGAACTGTACCAGCAGCTCCTCCAGCACAGCAAGCGAACGCTTTGATGCGGCGCTCTCCTCCTCACCAGCGCCTGCTGCACCGACGGATGACTTGCGGCGCACTGTGCCCGCCGTGTAAGTGGCTGAGGTCTCGTCTTCCTCCTCTTCCTCGTCGTCTTCTAAAGAACTTAACGTCGGCTCTTCTTCAGCTCTAGGCGCTTGTCCCTGCAGCGTCTTATCGTCTTCCTCGCTTGCCTTCGCTACGCCGTAACTGCTACTCGCCAAGGAACTATCAGGCGTCAGACTGCGTTTACTCGTCAGCGGAGTAGTCGCCGCTGTTGAAGTTATCGCTGCCGCTGACGATGTCACTACCGCTACCGGTACGTCGACCGCCGTTGTTGAGCGTTTCGTGCGATACCCTGACGCTGCCGCCGCGATTCTGCGCTCAGTATCGGGTATCGAATGCCGCAGTAGTATGTCCTGCAACTGCTTGCGTTGCTTTGCCGGACTGTAGGGATTCACCAACCGGAAATCACCATAGATTTTCGCCAAAAAGCGCACGCGCGATGCAATATAGCCGATTTTGCGCAACACGCGTACATCAGCCCCAATACTAGCGCGCTGCTGTTGCTTGCGACGACGTCGATGGCTGCTTCCGCCGTCGCTACCGCCGCTTACACCACTAACGCCGCTAATGCCACTAACTGCGCTGCTGCGTCGACTACCGGCGTCCAGCGGCGTCGCTTCTTGACTTTCGTGCGCCTGTGCGTACTCACGGCGTAAGGTGGAGCGGCGCTTGGGTATGGCGCGTAAGGTGTGCGCAGGAAAGGCAGGGCGCGCGCGAAATGTATAAACTTCGCTGTTCTCGCTGTCGTCGCTGCCGCTACCGCTGGACGATGTGTGCGATGCGGATGAGGCCGTCGACGATGACAAAATCGAACAATCTGAGGCGCAGCTGAGCTGGTAGTACTCCGCCTCCAAGTGTTCGGCGGCGAGGCTGAGTGTGATGGGCGTGGTGTTGCTGCTGGTGCTTATGCTGATGCTCTTTGTGGGGGCTGTGGCTACGTTTGTTGTTGTTGCTGCTTCGACCGGCGCTACGCTCGTGTCTATCGTTGCTTCTGTGGCGCTAGGCGCTGTTGACTCAGTGCTTATGCGTTGTGCGTGCGTTGCTGCGTCTAAGGCTGCGTTCGCATTACACTTGACTGCTGTGACGCTTTCAGTCCCACTTTGTTGCGGCAGTTGTGTGCTCGCCGTAGGCTCGGCAGATGTCCCAATTATAGTTGTGGTTATAGTTGATGCTGTGGCTATTGTCGTTATAGTTGTTGTTGCTGTAGTTATCGCTGTGGGCGTTACTTTTGGCGGTATTGGCTGCGGACTGCTGCGGCAGCTGCTGTCCTTGTACATTTATAAGCCAAAAAGCCACAAGATCCTCTGCGCAATGGACTGAGTAGGTGACTGATTGAGTGATTGATCCGCTCGGCCAGTTGAGATTAAGTAAGACGGAGAGTTGAAGAGTGAGAGACGGAGCTAGAGTCGCAGAGAATGAGAGATGGCACACGATTGGTGGTACGACAGCGCGCACGTTAAAACGTACGGACACAGGCGCGATCCACTGGCAGTTGGTTTCGATATCTTTCGCTAAAGCGCTAATGGGTGAGTTCGCTTATTTGAGCTGCGTGAACAGCAGGAAACACTTGTTCAGATTTTTAATTTCTTTTCATAATTCGCAATGCCATTTACTTCACTTTTTCGTTGTTTCTTTCGCCACTAAACTTTTGTATACCTTATTTTTTATTTCTTTTTTCACTTCACGCCCCGATCACTCTATTCCTTAAGCCCTCTCACTTTTTTCTTCATTTCTTATTATCCATCTCACTTCCCTTTCCCACGTTTTTGCACTTTTTATTTGTATAATCCAGGTACACTGCCACTTCTTCCACAACCCGCCTCAGTCGCGCTCAACTTAGCCGCGCATTTGTGCAATTATCCTTTCGCTTCCTTCGTGCACTCGGTTGTAGTTATTGTGCGCTTGTATGTACAATAACACCAACGTCTACTCACAGCTGTGGCATTAGCGGTAATTTTCCACAACGTCCAGCGTAGCGTGGTATATAAATGCAAATGTCACAGTACATTTCCATTTAGATTTTAAAATTCAAACACTCACTTCCTCGATTTGGTTGCGTCGACAGCTTTCTCTTTCCCCCTTCACACTTTACTTTGGTCTAGCGCACAATGATGTGCAATTTCTTGGTGGCTATCGTTTTGGAAAAGCGTACTTTCCTTTACATGTTGCCAACGAAGTACGGTTCGTACGCTTTCATGTCATATCCTGACTGCCGGCAATTGCGTTTATGCGCTCGACTTCCGCTTATGTCGGGTGGCTAAAAGTATAGCAAACTACGTCCATGCCATATCGCACACTAACCGGCGCGTTATTCTATGTTCAATAAACAGCGACAATTCCAAATTTTAAATTCCAACACTTGAGCAGCAGGTCCTTCGCATTGTGTCTACACTGGAGCGGAAAGTCTGTAAGTAAATAAAGAGTGGCGTGTTAATAGTAATTTTCAAACCACAGGCTGCAACTAAATTGTATTATACACTTCTAATATTAAAGGACGGACAAAAGTGTGCATAAAATTATGCAGATTTTTTTTTTGTTTTTTCCCTCAATGGGAATACATATTTGCATAAGTTCGAGGCACTAGACAGCTCTTGCGGATAATAGAGTCAACACAAAATATACCAACCACCAAAAAAACTGTGTGCCTTTAAAGTGGCAGCCAGAGACTGCCATAAATGGATCCTTACTGGATGTCGTGGGAATAAACGTTTTGGAACTACAGCCTCTGAGTACTACCATACCTTAAGAGCCTATGGACATAGCAACACTTAAGCGCATAGTCAACGACATCGAGACCGACACAGATCGTGGAAAGTCAATAGGTTACAGTAGCGGTCGATGTTGAAACCGGGGCACTTACATAGATCCGTGCTTTAGGCCGTGCGCAGCATTCCGCTTCTAAAAAGCAGCATGTGGAGTCTGCGTATCTAAGCATTTATCGCGACCTCTAATTCACGAAATGAAGCAGGTACTCGAAAAATTATCACCTGCCCAAAGTATTGAGAATTCACGTGGCAGGTGCCAGGCTATTCTACGTATCTCGGACGTCGGAAAAAGCAGTTGTGGAGACCCCCGTCGCTCGTGATGGCGATGTGTGCTATTAGGATGCCCCGGCTATAGCTAAACCTCGTCTTCCTTGCCTTGTAAGCTCTATTTGAAGGATCAATTCTCTTATGATGCGCTTGTGAATAGCTAGCGGTATGCCTGATACCCTTCATGAAGTCAACAGCAGAACGCATTTGCTCTGCCTGGTGAAGTTGTCAGTTATATCGTTGCCTGGTATGTTAGGTTAGATTAAGTTGATGACAGTCGGTCCAAGGGCCAACTCACTTAGACCTTGCATGCCCATTTTGATACACCGGATAGTTCCGTAAGAGAGCTAAGTAAGTGCCTACCTAGAAAGTCCGCTGTGCTTTTAGCTAAAGCTGGTTAGCTACAGAAGAAGTGCTCAACTGTTTCTTACTCTTTCTCAGCTCTCAGTTTGTGCTGAGATTATTCCATTTGACTGTGTTGTCCTGATACCTAAATATCGAAATTCCAACGCAGGTGGTTAAATAAATACCCAAAGAAAAATCACCACATACAAGGATAAACCACCGCGTTAGTGTCCTTCCTTGCCTAACTGAACATCTTTCAGCCTTGAAGCTTCCTGAAAACTGACTAACTCTCTATCAGAGGTGATTTGAAGTTAGTTAGAGGTGATCCGAGAAGAATGGTGGGCTAAGGCAGAAACTCTCTACGGTCCGTTAGTTACAACTGTCTTCAACTACATTCGAAGCTACACCAAAAATAAATTGATGCTTTAGTCTGTGGAAGGATCCAGTTCCAAAATACAGTGATCAAACCAACGAGCCAATAAAACGAACGAATATGCAAATCTCTGACTCAAAACAAAGTGCTGAAGTGATTAACCGCGAGTACCTGGGAGCCGTTAAAGGAACCCTGCTAGCAACGCCCAAAGCGATCGTCCGGTCAGGAACAAGCGAAACGTAGTGGTGAAAAATCTACATATAGCTATTCGCACATGCCAACTGGGAATGGAGCCGGATGCGTAAGACAGCACGCACATCGAGGCAAAGGTAGAACTTCCGTTCAAATAAGCTCAACGCAAAGCCGTGTACAACAATTCTCCATAGCGATGTTGTCAAAAAAACAACATCGTCCTAAGAGATCGATCGCCGCCAAATAGCATTGAGGGAGTGGAGCTGACGAGAGAAGCCAGGTGGAGTCATAGTCTCAACAGCTACAGGGACAAATACCTGCCAAACATGGTTATTACAACACCTAACTCGTCTACGTATGCACCTCCAACCCGACGTCCTCGACACCGGGAAGACCGGGTACTACGCCCTTCTCGTCCGCAGGCTCGCCGAGTCAGCGGATGAAGAGGACTCCACTTGAAGAGGAGCAACTCCATGCCAGCACTGTAGGCAGTATAACCTTCGCAAGGTGAGATAATATGAAGAAGAAAATACTCAATACTGCTAAGCCGTAATAAAAAGGATCATGCAGGCCAGGCAGAGGTAGCATTTTGTAAATACATACATACATAAAAAACTGGGCATTTTAGTTAGAAGAAATGCACGGCAACTACGACAGGTATCGCCGAAATTGGAAAGTTGTGGTAACCGTGGCAGACAAACTCAGTGCAGGAAGAAAGGAACCGACAATTGGCCAACAATAGGGGTATGGTCAAAGTGTTCTGCAGACAGTCCTTCGGGCCCATAAGCAAGCCACAGTCAGGGAGCGACTTATATCTCTCACTCCGGATGTAAAAATCCGGGAAAGAACGACAAAGCAGAACAGTTTGAGAAAGTTTGTGGTACTACAGAGGTAATTAGAAGCTGTACGCATTGAACCAACAGATGGCCAATGCTATACAAAAGACCGTGAGTGAGCAAAATGAGGACAAACGAATTTAGAGTTCGACAAAGGGGGGAAAATGAAATCACATCAAATCTTTACAAAGAATCAACGTCGATCCTGTGGAATTTTTCAGGCTATAGTGNTTTAGAGTTCGACAAAGGGGGGAAAATGAAATCACATCAAATCTTTACAAGGAATCAACGTCGATCCTGTGGAATTTTTCAGGCTTATAGTTCATATGAGTTAGTACCCAGAATTGGAGGGTGAACTCGGACTTGGAAAATTTCGTATTTCTTGGAAAATTTCTTAACATTCGCATGCGTCCAAATAAGCAAATCCACGAACATTGAAAATGAGCTGATACATTAGTGAAACGCCCTGAAGCAGCGCCAGCCGGATAGTTTTACAATATCTACCTAAAAATGTTGTCCATAAATATCTCAATTGCTCTAGAACTGTTTTACTAGTTGTTCTTGTTATTGTTGCGGCTGCGGTTGCTTGCCAGTTCTCTGCCTCTGAGCTCCATCAGTAATTTTGTAGGTTTGCATGAGGTGGAAAACCACAACTGCAAACCATTCAACAAAATGAGCGAGCAACAACAAACAAAATGAATGAATATGTATGTATTTAGAAACAATAGCGACCAAGAACTAAACAAGTAAGTAGGTAGTTTAGCAACAAAGCAACAACCAGCAAAAGTCAACAACAAAATATCAACTGATAAGAGCAAGAACACACACATATACATACATACTCAAATACAAAGGCAGCGAAAATGTTTTCACAACATTGAAACGGCTGGAGATCCTGGCAAGAGAACAGTCAAGGCAGCAGCAGCAGTAATAGAAATAACCACAAAACATGGCATGTCAGTAGCATAAATGCTATACATATATGTATGTAGGGAAGCTAGAAGGGCTGACATGTTATTCAGATACACACATACACAGATAGCATGATGTTAGTAGATGGTCAGTTGCCAATTTTTAATGCAAAAAAAAAGCAAGCAAAACACGGCTGCCAAATTCAACTAGCAACCTGAGAATGGCAAAATGTGCCTTCGCAGCCAAAAGTTTTGTTCACATCCATGTACATAGATACATACATATATGGGCCAACACACATACACACATACATATTATCATCACTCACTACCCACTTGAGGTCGAATTTAAGCAGCAAATGAAGATCGTAATGGATTGTGTAGATAACAATATTGACAATGGCAGCCCAAATGCAATTTTTCTTGATGTGTAGATACTCAGCCGTCCTTGCTGAGGGCGAGCAATTCAAAAGGCTATAGAATAGCGAGATTTTTGTCTATCGAATGAAAGTAGCAAACACTTTTTTGATGAATGTTGATGAGGGTGGCATAAGACTTGTGCGATAAAGTCGCAATGATTGAAGTGTATACATACACTAGGTGACGAATGAAAGTGCGCACCATGTTCTAATATAATATTCAAAATTACTTTGTTTGCAGTAATTATTTATGAAAATATAATTCATGCTATAATATAAACAATATAAATCAAAATTCCACACTTTGTATAAAATTCACTAATATTGAAAAAATTTTCATCAATTTTTAACTTTTCATTCAGAATTTCAAGAAAATTTTCGAGTTTGCAATTTTGTAGCCCATTCTATTTCGGTCTGATGGAGTGCAAGTTCCAATCGGATAAAAAATCGCGTTGATTTTTGAAATTTTGTTTTTTTTTTTGATATTGCTTTTGCGTTTTTTTTTTTTATATGAAAAGTGCAACCCACAAAAATTGGCATTGAGTTTCTGAAATTTTTTTGCTAACAGTCTCCCGCATTTTATTTCATAAGAAACTCACGATTATATGGAATAAGCGCAAAAAGCCATCACCAAAAAAAAATATATATCAAAAGTCAACGAGATCTTTTAGCCGTTTGAAACTTGCACTTTATTAGACTAAAATTAAATGGGCTACAAAACTGTATACNTTTTGAAATTTTGTTTTTTTTTTTGATATTGCTTTTGCGTTTTTTTTTTTATATAAAAAGTGCAACCCACAAAAATTGGCATTGAGTTTCTGAAATTTTTTTGCTAACAGTCTCCCGCATTTTATTTCATAAGAAACTCACGATTATATGGAATAAGCGCAAAAAGCCATCACCAAAAAAAAATATATATCAAAAGTCAACGAGATCTTTTAGCCGTTTGAAACTTGCACTTTATTAGACTAAAATTAAATGGGCTACAAAACTGTATACTAGAAATTCTGAATAAAAAGTTTAAAATTTTAATGATTTTTTTTTTTTTTTTTTTGTAACTTTATATAGCGTGTGAAACTTTGCTTTTATGGTTTATATTATAGAATGAACTATATTTATTAGACCAAGCTGTACTTTCATTTTCCGCCTAGTGTATATACATACATAGTTCGACACAAGCATGTAAGGATGAGTTAATTGATGTGCGAGCACGAGGCTGTGGTGGTGTAGATAACGTAGATGATAAGTGTGTTCTTAAAGATTGTGCAATAATATGTATTTAATTTTCGTATTAAAT